TTTTTATCATTTAAGAACTCCAACATGAAAGTGAAAAAAAATTTCATAAAATAATTGATGAAGTCTGTTTTTTATAGATTAGAAGTTGAGAATATACATATGAGATATTGAATTCTTTCTATTTATTTTATGTTCACTATTTTGTACTCTCAAAATTAGAAACCAATTTAGGAAAAGATATAAATACTTAATTTCTTTCAGATATTTCAAGCTTAAAAGATTAATAAGTGGTAAGGCTTATGAGTTAAAGGTATGCTTTAACTAATATAAGATTTGGGATGTAGTGTAACAGAAGGCCTTAGGTCATAATGATTTAATCATGCACTTTAGTCGGAATAACTAGGGAAGAATAAAGAGTGACTTTTATGAGTTTTATTAATAAATTTCGTAGGATGTAGCTGATTTTAAAACCTTTAAATTTATAATCACCAAATTAATTACAAAAATCGATAAATTATTATGAGTTGAAGATTTCAAGCTATTTTTCATTTTAGAATCCTAGAGAACCTTTTATTTTCCAAAGAGGGATGAGTTTAAGAAAGCTTCCCATGACATATGACAGACATAATGAAAAAAAAAGGACATACACTTGTTGCAAAGAACATCAAATCTTTAAAAATAAAGTCTGTAAGTGTGAATGCTAGAAGACCAACCATTGCATGTCATTCATCTAGGTAACTAGGAGTAGTAAGAAACACATTTGAAGAGCCATCAGGAGATATTTATAAAGCTCATTCTCAGTCAACCATTATAGTATAATTTTTCTAATAGCTTGGTCATGGAGAAAAAAAATAATATTGGTACAATTCCAAAAATAATACTTATATTTAGGTAGTTTTTTTTTAAAAAAAAATTTTAACATATATAAAGTTATTGGTTATATTAGAATAATGATCAATACGTTAGGGATTGCACCCCCTATGACACTTGTCTACAATATTATTGTAGATTATTATCTATGTTTAGCTTATAGACAACATATGTCATTTTAAGTTCTTGTAAAAACTTCAACAAAATATTATTAAAAGAGATACAATGCTAAATAGATTCAAATCAATAATAAGAGAGCAATAATAAAAAACAAGACTTTAAAATATTACTTTGACAAATTTAGCCGTGGATACATGACATCCATTAGTCATAAATTCATCTTACATTGGATTTATTTTTTTAATAAGATAAATAAATAAGAAAAATAAGTAAAAATATCATTAAGCGAGACTGATTTAAAAAAGTAAAAAATTACTTCAACTACCATATATATTGCTTATTCAACCTTTATTTATGAGAAACAAATGTATCCATCACTTCACCATAATTTTTGAATAATTTTATGAAAACGGTCATATGATGTCTAACATCGAAAATAAGAAAGCCCTTCAAGGAAGAACACTTACTTTTCCAACAATCAAATTATTATCATGAAAACCTAGTTTCTTATTGCAATATATTTTCTTGAACAATTTTTCTAGTAATTTTATTTTATTGATTTTTCTCACCTTGCTTCCCCTCGCTCATCCTCTTATAGTTGTTTTCTTTAAACATCATCTCTAAAGAAGTATAACATTTTGATTAATATTAATTAATTGAAATTT